ATTCGGGAGCGGCATAGCCATATGTGCCCATTACCCTTGTAGAGACATGACTCTTATCACCTGCTGGACCGTCCTTTGCCAAGCCGAAGTCGGAAAGTTTTGCATTATAAGACTGTCATCAACAAAAAGGAATGTAAGAATAGCCCATTTTGACAATTGAATTGTAAGAGACTAAGAGCATTGAGATTTACTTACCGAGTCGAGCAATATATTTGCAGTTTTAAAGTCTCGATATATCACTTTTGCTTCGTCGCTGTGAAGATATGCAAGACCCTTAGCAGCATCAAGAGCAACCTTCATTCGTATTGTCCACGAAAGTGGTTGAAAGTAAGAAGCTCCTGTTCCAAAAGAGTAGATAAGTTAGATTCAGGCATTTATTAGTGTCAAGCATAAGAGAAACTTGAAGGAAAATCAATAGCTTACTTCTAAATAAATGATTATCCAAACTGCCCTTAGTCAAAAACTCGTAAACCAAAAGCCGATGTTCGTCTTCGAGGCAGTAACCAATAAGTTTCACAAGATTAGGATGATGCAGCTGGCCCAGGTAATTGATTTCTGTCTATAGCAGAAGAACAAATATTTACATCTAAAGAAGAATTAATTTAAAACATTCACAATATAGACCAGATACATTGAAAAACTAATGTATCTGATAGTATATAGACCAAATACATCTTCTATTCGATGAATCTAAAAAGTAAACTTTTCTTATAAATAAGACCAGATGAAACATTTCAAAATGAGAAACTAATCTCATATTTCTAAACTTCAAAATAGAAGACACTCACCAACCATTCACTATGTCCTTGCAAACCTTCTTGGTTAAGCCTCTTGACAGCAATGACAACTCCAGTCCCCGGTCTAACCGGTGTAAGCGAGTGCTCATCAATCCACCCCTTAAATACAGCTCCAAATCCACCTTCACCAACCACACTATCAGGACGAAAGTTTCTCGTAGCAGTTTTCAGCTCACTTAAAGTGAAGCTCTTCATATTAGAAGACTTCAAGATCTCGCCCTGCGTCCGCGGAGTTGGAGGCGCAGTAGGCGGAGCAGAGGCCTTGCCGCTGCTCCGCCCACTCAAGCCATTTTCTTTGCCACTATCCTTCAAACTCGAACCTGCATATCTCAAAAGAAAAACAGATCCACTTTTCAGGCAATACAATAGAAAAATGCTCATGCAAGGATTGAATCATGCAAATTGCAAATTTCCAAAACAACCAATTTTTCATAATCTTGTAACCTTAATCATCACCAACAAAAACCACACACCCTTGTTATCATCTCTTCCCCCAAAACCACATAACTCATAATCAATTAAAGCAACTCCTCTTTCATAGTAATCAATCACTCTTCAAATCAAGCAGCCATATTTCATAACCTCAACTCAAATCATAAACACAAACAACAAAAACTAGGCTCCATTCAAAACCCAATCAAATTAATCAAAAACAAAAAGGTGATCAAGATCAAAAGTTTTAAGCAAAAGGGCTATGAGAAAAGAACAAAAAGATCCATTTTTAAGTATGAAAAGAAGACATGCAAACAAAGATATCATATACATACCATTGCGTAGAGGGCTTTCAGCTTTGATTCTGGCACTAAAGCAACAACCCATGAAGACAGAGTTAGCTAAAGACCAGAGAAGAAGCAAGAACAGGTAAAGAGAGAAAAAGGAACAAAACAAGTTGAGGTTGTAAGAAGCAAAGGGAAAAAAAACAAAACATATATGAAAGTGTGAAAGCAATTGTAAATTCCACATGAAATGTCAGCTGTCATGTTACGACTTAAAACCGCCAATATTCAATGCACGGATGTCTCCCGGTTCCAAAGACCATTTGTTTTGAAAAGTCATGAGATATAGTATGATATTTTTTCAAATTTAACGAGATGTTGTGAGTTCGAATTCAATCTTAAATATGCAATAATATTATCGTGAGTTCGAATTCAGTATCGAACATGCAACAGTATTATCGTGAGTTCGAATTCAGTACCCAACATGCAATAGTATTAAGTTTTTTTAATGACAGTTTTACTGTCAAATCTAATTATAGTTTTCTTAAGTTTGAGTGATTATTCTATGCAGTTGTGTTTCAATTTAAAATAGTCTAAAGTTTATTTATTGTTTTTATAGTAAACTAAAATATTTCATGCACAACTTAGACTATTATTCTTAGAAGGAAAGTGAGACTATATAAGAGTTGATATGTTAAAATATATATTTTTATATGCATAAATAATTGTTAATCAAACAGTTAAGAGATGTTAATATATACCAAATGTGTCCCATTATGTTTTTTTTTCTTTTTCTAGAGTGTGTGTGAATGTGAATGCATGTGAGAAAGTTATTGGTTTTTGACTTTTTGACTTTTTGGAGAGAAGGACAAAACCATAACGGGGTTGACCTGACACACCAATGGATTATGGTTAGATTATGTGCAAGTGGGAACTTCTATGATGTTCAAATCAAATGCTTCCAACTTCCAACCTTTTTCTTTATTTGTTGCTTTTTGTAGGGGTAGAGGGTCTTTCCTTTCAACCTTATCTTTTTCTTATTATTATCCTACTAGGAGTACTATTTCTTAGTAGCTTTATTTTATATTTAGTTGATATTTGTAAAATACTAAGTTGGCATCATCTCAATGCTAAGTAGTTCGAATCTAGTAAAGATATGATCATTACACTTTAATTCATTTATCATTTGAAGGAAGCCGTTTTTGAATGTAATTTAAGTTTTTGAAAAGATTTGTCTTTATTGTTTTTCAAAGAAAATACTTTAGTTAGATCATAGAGAATCACTAACTTATGATCAAATTAATTTTAGTATGTTTGTTGACTATCACTTTTAACATATAAACTCGACATGACAATTTAAAATTCGAATTAAATTTTATTGGACTTTTAGTTGATAGGTTAATCAATCTAATTTTTTTATTAGGTTTGAATTACTTTCACTAGCTTGTATTTTGAATAAACCACATGAATTAGAATTGCAATAAAGGAAGAAAAGATAAAAATTGAAAGAAAAATATGTGTATATATTAGATGTAAGGAGAAATATAGACCATTATCTTCACTATACTAAGTTGAGATTGATAAGCTTTGTGTGTATAAATGTGTAATCTATATTTTAGATGGATTTTGAATGAAAAATGAAACTCCATAAACCATGGGATTTTTGGGTCTAAGTTCTAGAGAATCAAATGTTAACTTTTTCATTGCATGAGTGTTATGTGGTTTATAACAATTTCGAATAACTTAGAAGAAATTTCTTTTTTAAGTTATTTCTCTTCACCACTTAATATAACTTATTGAATTTACAATTTTTTTAACTATCTCGAAACATCTGAAATTATATTTGAAATATTGCATATTTCGATTGAGTAGGTGTTTTTATTAGCTTCAAAGAAGTCTTGCACTTCATTTTAGAAATTTATATTTTATGTTAATTTTCTGTTGATTGGTATTATGTTTAGTAAAACTAATATAACAATAATATGTTAAATATGATATATTAATTTGTTAAGAAGAACAGGTTGAACAAGAAGTTCTATTTTATGAAGAACATATTAAGTTGAAATATTTCAACATCTGAAGCAACATGTTGGATAAAGATGTCCTATGCAGGGTCATTCTACACCGCGTCTATGCTAAGCTGGACATTTGGATTCTGTTATAATTTAACAAATCCATAATATTCTTGGAATATTATGCTATCTTATGTGGCATTGTTTTATAGGTCTGGAAGATTCAAGTCAGAATCAAGAAGAATATTAAAGAATATTGACTTTCTAATTATGGAGATAAATTATGAAAGATTTGCTTGAAGACCTATTTTGTAGCAGAAGTTTCTGCTGATTTGTAGTAGTTGATATGCTGTGATTTGAAGCCCAAATCCATTTGAGAAAAATGTTATAATTAGAAGCATTATAACCTAGAAGAAGGTACCAATCGTGAAGAGAAAAGATGTAGTTATTAGGGCTGAGTCTGTAAGCCGCTCTCAAGGAGAGTTGGTATGTGTGATTCATTCGACATGTGAGGTGGATTGTGTTCCTTGAGTTGTAAGGTTTTGTTTTCTCTCTTAAGCTTTTAAGCATATAGTTGATTATTGTTCTTTGAGGAAGCTTGTAAGTAACTCCAAGTTGTGTTCTTAGTCAAGAGTCTTGGCTAGGTATTGTCATTAAAGCGTGACTTTTGGTTTATGGTCATGAGTGTGTCTTTCTGTTTTGATCCAATTGTTGTCTGTGATTGATGAGGGGGTTGAGGAGGGCCTCATACCTAGATGAGTCTTAGATAGAAAGTTAGCACAAGTAGTGATTAAGTGAGAAGTTGTAAACAAAGGAGTTTAGCTTTGAATTGATACTATTGTAGTGGACTTTATCCCTTGCTTGGTATGTCCTCAGAGTAGGAGAGTTGCTCCGAACTGGGTTAACAATTATGTTGTGTTGTTTATGCTTTTCAGTATAGTTTTGATTGTTATACCTTGCCATGTTTGTTTTAGTCGAATTCAGATGTCTCGACATGTCATAGGACATCTAAATTATGATATACCAGAATTTCAATTGTTATCAGAGCAGGCATTCTGTTCTATTTCTGGGTGAGATCCTGGGACGATACTTTCTGGTTCATGGGCAAGGAATGAGGTATCTACTGAAAAGTTGTTTGAACTTGGATAGTTCATATTGTTGTTTGAATAGTCCCTTGAAGTAGAGGATGGATTATTCGTGACAGGGTATGTATTGGACCTGTCTGTTGTTATCAGGCTTGTAGCTTTGGTGGTGAGCTGCTTTGTGAGGTTTGATTTATTTTCAAATCTATGCTGACCTGTTGCACCTAGAGTGTGGTGTTTTTGTGAAAGAGTTATTAAGTTTTGCCTGAAGGTTGTTGAGAAGTTTTCTGGTTTGTGTTCCGCTGCATATGTATCTGATGGAAAACTCCTTACGATGTTGTGAGTTTCTGGTGTTGAGATTGTAGCCATCTGCTCTTCTCTGGAGGTGTATCCCATGGTGTGGTGATACTTGGAGGATAGTTTCGACCATCTTGCTAAAGTTGCCAAAGATACTTGACGTTTATCCCAAATCCACTAAAGGCACTTTTATATGAGTTTGTTAAAAAGAGACCTGAAGAAAGTTAAAAGCAATTTACTTTTGCAGCCAATCCTAAAAGGCCAATTTCCGATCTTTGATAAAGGTTCTCTTGGTGTGTTCATCGGGAATATGTTCTACCGAATGTTGGAACATCACACCAAAATTATGACATAGTTGATGCTTTGGGTACTAAATAAATGTGTGTTGGCCATATATGTTTGGAACCTACTCCTGAATTGGATGAGGATGAATTTGGGTTATGAATCTAAGATGTTTTATCCAGGAAACATGTCTTAGATAGGTAGGCTGGTAAAGAAAAGATCAATTTATTGGTTACTTCTTGGTTCAGTTTATTTCTGATCCAAGAAAGTAGAAGTGCAGAGGCTAAGCTCTAATTCTAGTGGAGATTTGTCATTTCAGCCAAGCTCCTTGAATATGAAGGTCAAGATCATATGCTAAGGGCATCCTCTATGACATCTGGAACATTCTTCTTATCAAAGAAACTAGATTTATGTGATCATGTTCATTTGGAACAAGTTCTGTTGAAACAGAGAGAGTATTATGTGGGAGTGCACTAACCACATGTTGTGCTGCTATTAAGGGGAAGAATGTGTGATTCTCTAAGGTGTTCCTAGCAGCTGGTGAAGAAGAGTCCCTAATCTGGGGTTAGAGATTCTTAGAGAGATATCAGATATAATGTCTTGACATTATTGTGTTGAGAATTTATTTTTCTCAATATGCTTGGCTGGTGTTTCTCACAAACATGAACGAGGTTATTTACTTAAACTTGATATCACCTATCAAGTCTATGAGAGCATCAAACTCTTTTTTGCTATTGTAGAAGACACAGTCAAGGGGTTGTGTGCAATGGAGATGAATTAACCTGAGTTAAGTTAATATTCTGAAAGATTAACTTACAATTATGAAGTGTATTATTCAGTGGTTGATTGTTGTCTGCATTTTTGGAGTATCATCCAAATTGGTGAGGATGAGTTTTTCAAGTTTTGAGGCTTGAAGGATTGGGAGAAGCATACTTACTCTAAACAGTCTATTTGAGGGTTGATGATCATATAATACCCTGTATATTATAGTGTGCATGGCAGAGTGAATCTCCTATGTTGATGCATAAGAATGACATCTATTACCTCGAAGTCAGACAGGAGGTTTGTGTGTTGCAAAAAAAAGTATCTTTAGGTATGCATGCTACTGCATATTTCTATGGTATGATCTTGAAGGATGGCCAACTGCTGAAGTATGGTTCTCTTATGTTCTCCCTCAAGAGATGTGTTTAAATTACTATGGTGTTATCTCCAGAACCATAGTAGATGGTGACTGAGACTGATGTCTGAAAAGATGTTGGAACATCATCTCAGGTTTTTGCTACTTCAGAGAAGGAAGCTGTTTTGTTTTTGAAGATCATAGGGTGAATATTGCTGATTACCATTGGATTCCTAAATTGGAATGTCTGACCATGATGAAGTGTCGAGTCCAGTCTCTGACCAAGTCTGGAGTGATGTGTATATCTGAAATG